GCCCACTACTTCGCCCTTGCAAACATCCCACTACGCACCATCACCGATCCACCAGCTTACCGACCATGAAGCACCTTAACAAACAGGAACGAGAACAAAATAAATGTTGATTTGTATATTACACGCACAGCCTTACGTATTTCTAATGATGTAATGGACCAAGTTTGACGGGATAGTTATGGTTCACCGGTGATCTCCCCTTCTCAAGCTTCGCCCACTTGGCATCACTCATTCTGTGAATATGGCGTTAATAGTTATTAGCTGGTGATTTAATACTAACTAACCACGCGCTTCTCTCTTTTCTCTGCCTTAAGCTACTAGCTGGCTCATCAAGGGAAAGTTCTCTTATCTTATGCCCACTGCTCCTCGTCTGTTAGTCTGTCTGGTCCTGTCAGTTCGTTCGTTTTTTTTTCAGATCATCTGCCAGTCTTTCTGTCTTACAGCACAATAGGCATACATCTTGTGTAATGTAACTAATAATGTTGCACTATAGTGCATGCAATGTCCATCTTGCGGCATTTTCTAAAGGAAAGTTTCAATCACAATTTTCAATCCTTAAAGACTGCGAATGCTTTAACGCTGCACCCGTCGCCTGGCTGCCCGTGGTGCGCGCACGAACGGGCCAATGTGGCACATATACTTTGGCAATGCGAAAGAGATGAAGATGGGCCACGAGAAAGGATGACGTTAACTGAGGGGACCCACCGAAATGGGGCGCCTTGCTGAGCGATGGCAAGCCGCCCTTCTTAGCGAGGCCCTCGAAGACCAGGTGTGGGCCGTCCAGCGGGCCAGGGCCGTCGTCGAGGAGCTCAGAAGATGTTCCCCGAACGATGTGTCCCTGGCAGCCTAGCCCCGGGCACAGCAACAACCGTTGGGCAAATAAAGTTCATTCTACTCAACTTTAATTCTGCAAACATTTCGAGCATTCCCAGGAAAAGCACCCGTTGCTCTATTTCGCTTGTCATGTCGAGAGGAATAGAGCTTTAGGTGCATGCAAACACGTTAACAGCAAAAAAACTTGTCTAGAATTAATCCACTTTTACATCCCCATTTTGCAGGTGCTACGCTCTGCTTGAGCGTAATGGAGAGTTTCGGGTGGCTTACCTTTTCAAGACACACGTTGAAAGTGTATTTCATGTATCAAATCTTGGTAACGTGGGTGGGCCAGCCAGATGACGAGACGCAGGGAGTAGAGAGAAAACATGTTGTAGAAATAACAGAGAGGTTCTGCCTGGCAGGCACGCTGTGCTTGCGAAGGGGAAAATATGAACAGGTAGAATAAATTTGTCTTTAGTAACTACGATCCCGTTCAAAGTGTCACTGAATTAAAAAACATTACTGGGCTGGGAAACTTTAGCAGCTATAAAAAAAGAAAAACTCGAGGCTCAAATTGTTCTACCATAATTTTTATAATCCAACAGGCATTGATAGTCACCGCTCCCTGTCAGAACCATCCTATGTTTCGGCTAGGAACTACCACTCACTCCTAGAAAATACACGCGTTTAGTTGCAACACAAATTGTTTTTCCGGATATTTTTTTCACACTGACTGTACCAGATTGAAACGTGTAACCGGATAACTATGTTTCTGTATATGACAATCATAATTTTAATTCCCGATTGTGTTTACAATGAGGTATAATTGTCTTAGTTTTTTCTTCGAGCTTTCTGTTAGTTTTCAACACTCTAAACCTATTGTTTACCGTGATGTTAACCTTGTTTCATATATTTATGTTGTTCGTCAACGCAAAACATGCAGAATGTGATACTAAACACGCCTGTGATACTCCCCTGCCATAATGCCTTCGAGGCGACGCAGGGACCCTGTAAATAAATAAATAAATAAATAAATAAATAAATAAATAAATAAATAAATAAATAAATAAAAACAGACGAAATTGAACGCAGGAGAGATAACGAGAAAGGAACCAAAGGAAATTAACAAAAAAGTTTCATAACGTTAAGCGCTAAAAGAACATATTTCACGGCTCGTCGTGTATACGTTTGACGCTTTGACACGCTACGGGATGTTTATATGTGACGAATTCTTTGTAGGACATTTATTGCGCTGAATCAGCTAAAATGTTACACTACTTGTTGCCTGAGTGTTGTGAAGTTTTGGTGCTCTTTCTTTTCTTTATTTTGTTAAAAATCTTCTTAGTGAACCTGACGTAGTGCGCATGTGGTGCCGGTATTATGAATTATTTCTACGCCTTTCTCCTTTACTGTAATTCCTATCTTGCGTGGGCTATGAAGACTAGCAGTATTGCGCAATAAATAAATAAATTTAGGGGTTAGAGAGCTAGAAATAAACAAACATTTATTAACCATGTGTCGACGTCTTAGCTGATGTCACGCCCATTAAGTCCCAGCTTTTAGTCTCTTCGTCTTTCGCAGACACGAAGCACACTGTCCACTACAAAATAAATAAATAAAAATAAATAAATAAAATAAATAAATAAATAATTAAGTGTTCTATGATAAAATTTGCGATAAGCCAACCCAGAAGGTGTGGGTGTCGGAGGGTGCGGTGGAACACGATGAGCACAAGGTGAAAATTCTATTATAGGCCAATGAAACCAGATATTACTTTTGTTATTGCCATAAAGATTTGCCCCTAAGGTACCATACATTCGGCGTACGTGTGTACCACATCTGCATGGTAAGTCATGTACTGTTATGAAATGAAGCAGTATTTTATGGAATTTCCCATCACCTTTTCAATCGTCTTCATATTATCACACATCAATGTTATTTGAAAGCCTACTAGCGTGATATCTTAGCTGTCAAGAGCAACTTCGGAAGATTCAAAATGTTTCCCAGTTGAGGACAATTTCGAAGGGAATTAATGTTTGCACGAAGAAACGTGATGACGTCGGACAACAGAAAAAGATCGCGCAGGTCAGGGAGTTTCGCTGGAGTGAAGCAGCGTATATGTTGTCGCAAATAAACAAAATTAAGGTCGAAGTAATGTGACAGCACGACAGAGAGCTTCCTAGAAGTACGTTCTCGTCGCCTTCTTTCTCGGTTCGATGTATTTTTCATTAGGAACCTTGATTGATAGTTTTATAAGCGATCTTGGTGTTACATTGTATCTTAGTTGGCTTTGCTGTTCTAGACATCCTTTAGAAAATAGACCGAAACCCAATACTGTTTTCGCAGGTTTCAGGATACCAGCCAGATGAAATGTATGTCATGAAAGTGAATGTCTTGAAAGTAGGACACTCGTTACTCACACCATCTAAAGAAACACAAGCGTCATGGCGTTGCTAACGATCCGAAACAAATGAAATTCCTTTGTAAGGTTACAAAAAAAAAAACAAATATTCGATTCATAGATGTTGCGCTTGTATGCCTTCGAAGGTCTAGACACAGCGCAAAGATCTACGCGTGGTGCAACTCGAATCGGGCAACATGAAATGTGTAGAGTTAACACCCTTCACAACTTGTTGGTCGGTTTTCGCAGCGTGCAGACGTCCAACAATAAGCAGAAAATAAAAATAAAAACCAAGAAAAAAAAGTGGGGAAAAAAAGTTGGGAGGAGAAAATGGTGGCGTCAACAAGACCGGACGGTCCGGCAAGGGCGGTAAAGGATATACCGCACAACGTTAGCCCCCGCCACATCCTCGGAAAGCTTGCGTGAGCATCGATACTCAGGGACATCCGCGAGCGATTCCACCAGGAGTGCGAGTCTTGCATATCAAGCCGCTCAATGCATCAAGACGGCAGCCGTTTGCGAAAGAAGGTATAGACGAGGGGGAGAAGGAGAGGCAAAGGTCTTGAAGCATGCAGCGCACAGCTATCTCGTGGCCGGCAAGCGGGCTTGCCTTCTTGCATGGAGTGTGAGAGAGCGGTCGCATCTTGCCATAGTATCGGTCGGGCCGGGTGGTCCGACTGACCTTATTCCGATTGCATACTGACTCTTTCAGAAAAAGAACATAAAGAAAAAAAAACTCGCCACGCTCGGGGAGTCTTCTCTTATCTACCAGTTTCATACAGTTTTTCGTGTCCACCTATACTGGTGAAGAGGAATAGAATACGCCGGACTTCTTGATGCCTCAAAGTCGTCGTTGCACCTTCAACTGACTGCCGCTTCTCTTTCCACGCTGCACATAGCCGCGGCTGGTTCCTGTTGCTCCACACAGTGCGGCATGTCTAGGACGTTGGTGTCGTCATATTGCGTTGCCTTAGTGCATTAAATTTAAAAATTTTTCCACGGCGCTGGCGGGAAGCCCAGTTAGCCACAGCGGGCGAGGGCGACTTCGAAGCGGAGATGAGTTGGGGTTGTAAAGTAAGTACACTGGGACCGAGCCAGTAAAAACGTCAAGAACGCGAAAAAGAAAAAAAAAATAACGCGTAACTCGACTCTTTCCCTCGATCGTTGTCGACTTCTGCCGCAAGCGGATATGCCGCGTTGACCTTCTGTAACGAAGAACGTCTTCTTACGGCTCGCAAGTCAAGACTGACCAGGGAACTGATCCGAGGGCAACGAAGAGAAGGAAAGGAATTAATCGAAAGAGACAGTAAGCGAGAGAGGGTACAGCCCTGCCAATTTCTTATATTACTTTTTGAGCTCTTCACGGGCGCCGAGAATCGGTCTTCCATAGAATCGCACTCCACAAAGAGATTTAGAATTGAAGAGCAGGGAGGAGTAGCTGGGAGGATGATGTGTTCGTGCTGACGACGACACATTCTTCGAAGTGACTGGGCGAGGAGTTGGACCAAGGGTGGGAGGAGAAATCTAACGCTTCTTCTGTCACGTATCCAACGGTTCCCTTTCACAACCGTTGTTCCGGAGAGGAGGTTGGAGAGGGTGATGGACCTGCGCAGTTCTGTTCACCAGGCCACCAGCGGGACGAGCACTGGTTTGCTGGCGACTTTAGGCAGTGGCCGACGCGGTTGACGCTCGAGGCGGCACTTCTTATATAAGTTCGGACTGGTCAACTCCTTTCTCGCGTGCCCCTCTCACCTCGAAGCCTGGTAGGGCGACGCGATTGGCGAGGAGGATGCTCGCAAGTCATCCTCGGTATAAAAAGATGGTTCGCCCCTGACGGCACGGCCGTCTCGCTGCATCCAAACGGGGGCGCAACCATGAGAATCCTTGTGAGTACACCAAAATACAAACTGTGTGTGTTTCGAGCGCGAGGCTTAGGATTTGGTGCCGGTGATATTCGGTCGTACATGTATTGCGTCCTTTGTATTACATCTTATTTTTCGGCGATGACCCAGCGCTACTCATTGTGGATACCCGTCATCTAGAGGAGTGTTAAGCTAACAAGGACGAGTCGCAAACATCCTTTCGGTATTAGTGCCCACCGAGCCAGTGGCTTTTTTGTTTCCAATGTCTGACACGTTCACTGTGACCGCGAGTGGTGATGGATACCAGGCGTGCATGCTTCAGTCTACCATATGTGACGATACCACGTTGCCGTGGGGCACTTTCCTCGTCTTCCGACTGTGGTCGCGAATACTCTGTAGTGATTCTACATTGAATACGGCAACGGATCAACCGAGTTTTCCTTTCAATTACGAAGGACCTGGCCGGACAAGGCATTTGATTGCTCATGCAATGGCTACTGTTGTACCATGCGCCTAAGACAGGGCGACCCGTGAGAACCGGTTTGAGCGACCCGCACACTTTGTTCAGAGCTCATTTAATACTTTGAAAGCTGACGGAATAGCCCTCCCTCAAGATGTGTAGCTCATGCGAGCTTGGGCAATCGGAAATCAAACTGTTGCAAAATTTATACGCGCCCTAGGAGGGGGAGAGCTTACAACAACATATGTTTCGCAGAAATATTTGCAGGCATTTGACTGCTACCTTGAACGCGCTTGCTTAAACTTAAGCTTATACTAACTCATCCCGTTTTGTGCCCCTTGTACTGACTTAGCCTTTAATCTGTATTTCGGTGCTGGTATATCTTAGTGCAGTCTTTTCTTATCGCGTGCTCGAAAGGAGAATGCGTAGTTATGACTGTTGGTAAGGCTCTTATAATATTAATATCCTTACATTGCCAGTGATATTAGTGATACAACGCAAAAGGCTCCGCGTGTTCCTTTGGAATGCCAGGGTTTATTTAGTAGGCTCCACAACCGCGCACTTACTAATCCCGAGTTCCATCTACGAGCTCTTTCGTGACTACGGCTGATTATTTCATTTGAAACGATAACATCATAAAAAGCGCTTAGTATAAGCTGACTTTCTTTAACGTTTGCGGTGGAGAGACTTGGTATTCGGTGCGAGCTCTCAGCTGTTGAGTTTAAATTGGGCAGTCGGCTGCACTCACTCCTTTAGCAAAACTTATCTCCAAGAGACGTGGTGTTGTCCTGTGCATCTTGTGTTTACAGAAGCAAGTAACAGTTTTCGGAAGTGGCATGTTGCAATCACAGATGAACTGTGCCTCCTGGGTAGGTTAGCCGTACGACTAATCTCCAACGATGTCCACATCGGCACTGGTTGGCGTTTGCACGCCAGTGGTAGTCTTGCTATGGTAGATGTGAAGAACACGGCTGGCAATGACGGATGTGCGGTGGTGGGTCCTTTGTTCTTATGCAACACTAATTGAGTTTTGCCTATACTTGAGGAATGAATGACTACGCAAGAAAAATGCTGTGTACACGAGACAGCTGAACTCAAATGACGCTGCATTTATGCCTGGTTGGCTGTGTTGAAAAACACTTCAGCACAGCAGATAGGTCACTATGCAAGCACTGCAAAAGTTATTGGCTGAGATGTAAGTGCTGATGAAATTCGCCGCCTTTATATATCAATGTCACACAAACAATGTATGTAGGATCTAACGCCACGTGCTTATATATTGAAGCTACCAAATCGTCAAGTAAAACAGGAGATCAGGCAGAAATTACAGCCCTGGAGAAGTCAATATCACTCGTCAAAGCGTTTGCATCAGCAACACCTTGCGTTCTCGAACTCTGGAATAGAACTCTCGAATGAAGTTGTAGCGTCAAAAGATATTTAGCTACTTTTAGGGGGTCTGAATTCGGCTTCCTGGGCCATGACCTGCTATTCTAGATGAATTCCGAAGCAGGAAAGTGGCCAGGTGCATATGTTGACGAGAATTAAGGCCACATCCTTACAGGTGCCTTATCATACCCGAAAATTGAATGACAGCGTCGGCGTCCTCCACTGGCGGCGTCAAAACGAATGATGCAAAATATCATCATCGCATGATGACCTGAGCATATGACATCATCGTAGAGCCAGCCACACGGTACCGTAATTCATGACATCATCATGACGCCATCGTGAAGTCACATAACTTGACGCGTCGTGAGCATCGCATGACATGATTGCTTAGTCAAAGGCGGGGGGGGGGGGGGGGAGCAATCCCGGAGGCACGCAATACGGGTTGAGGTGGAGATAAATTGCAATGCCTTCAATCCCGGCGGCATTGCAAAACGACGTGAATTGCAGTTCAATACATCGACGTAAAAGAGAAAAGAGAAAATGACTTCGGCCTACAGCTCGTATAAGGCGCATGCTTAAGGGTCTTTGTTGGTTTTGGGACGGACATTTAGCATGGAAAGTATTTAAGTACTGCGTTTCGCGTAGAGCGCAAAGCACTCGCGGTATTTTAGGTCATTGAAATTTTCGTCATACTTAAAGGGGTCGTGAAACGCTGGTTCTAAAAGGACAATGCGAAACCATCGTCGTCCACACGCACTAACTAGGTGACGTCACCATAAGTAATGCTTTGCCTATCGGGGAACTCGGAACTCTTCGGTACTTGCGAGTGCGTGCGATTGGGACCCCATCAGCGTCTTTGCCATACGTAATCGGCGCTAACTAGAACTCTTTAGGTGACGTCATCATAAGCAACGTTCTTGTGGGACGCAGATTGCGTATGGCAGACGCTGATGAGCGGCTCTTGCGCGCGCTCGATATGCTGTAGAGTTCCGTGTTTCTCGATTGGCAAAGTATCTATGTAGGTCCACTTGGGCTGATGATGCAGTTAGCGCGTGTGGCTGCCGATGGTGCCGCATTGTCGTTGTAAAGCGGCCGTTTCGCGACCCCTTCAAGAAAGTTCTGTGGACACCCGAATAAAGCACACAGAAAGTCAAAGACAATGAAGCTCCTTGCTGCCTGGACGACGCACGAGGCCGTTTTTCACAATCGGACTTTCTCAGGCTCTCTCTTGTCGCCGGCATAAAGAAAGAGAAAGGAGGACAGCTTGGCGTCCGACCGTTCAATAACGGGATTTTATGGCGCTGAATAAATGTTCGATGAAGAAAGCGCGATAGAAGGAAATCGGTGCTCGCCCATAGAAAACGGTATACGCACAGACCGGGCCGAGATAAGGAATATGAATCATCGTCGCTAAGTGGCGCTATGAAACGCGAAACGCCCCACTAGCCACCACGCGAGGTTCGTTTTTTCCCTCCGGGTGTGCACAGGATACGAGAGAACTGGTGCGGCCCGATGACCCCGTGGGATAAAAGGTCACGCCGTCGCGGCTGTAGAAAGCATTTCGCTTCGACTGAAACACATCGGCGCGTAAGAACGACACAGTGATCGCTAAGGTCGCTCTATCGTAGATCTGTCTTTGACGATTTCATTTCCACCGGCTCCAAATGTCGTGTATTCACAGTCGTACCCGTTGGCTTTTGATCAAATTGCACTGTTTATCACCTAGCCTTAGTGCCACTAATTCATTAGTGTAGTGCCACAATTACAGCTATCTTATGGAAGGTGGGAAATTCGAGCAGTGAACTTATTGGTCTGTATACGTCTTAATTATACTAACTCATTGATTGATAATGGTTATACTGAATTAGGAATGCCTGAAAGAGATCAGAGGAACTGCGAACAATGTGAAGAGAACGCCGAGGCAAAACGTTATCATTCTCGGAAACATGGGCGCAAGCCTTCGGTTACGTCATGAACGTGCTTCAAAATGGCTTTGTACGAAGCGAAGTTTTACGCTAGGCATTTACAGTATGAAGATGAGAAATTCACGAGAACGCGTCATGCTAAGCTTCAATTTCGCGGAAGGGCTGACCCAATTTGTGCTGGTGAACTAAAAAAAAACTGCGTAAAAACTAGTGCAGATGTTTTTTTTTTATATTTGAGGAACGAATAAAAGAAATGTTCAAAACACCGATTCCCCTCGTTAACAGTTACATTGAAAATCGTGTTGAAACGAGGAACTCGAAAGTTGTCAGCATGTATAAGATGTTGCACGATTAGTAAAATAGTTTGTCAAGTTGTGGCAAAGATTGTTCATAGTCGGAGGAATAGTATTCTGGTGGTAAGGTTTCTCACCCAAGACTCGAAAAAAAAACTTGTCTCACCAATGTGCTCTGACCCTGATTGTGGGATCGACCCTTCTCAGCTAGTGAGTGATTTCAAATGAAAAGAAGAGAAAAGTGAGCGCCGTCCCTATTGGAAAAAAACGAATGGTGGGCATGGTGGAAACCACCACCCACCATTATAGTGGATTAATGTAGTGGGTGAATGGTGGGAAACGCCCACCATGGCGCATGGTGGGTATGGTGGGTGCTGCAGTGCCGGCAACACTTGAGCGCGAAATGACGTCAGAATCACCGTGACGAGCTGACAGAAAAAAATAAAAAAGAATTCTATAAAAACGGTATAAAAAACACCTGTCCCGTAAAAAAAAAAAAAAAACACGGCGCCACGGATGATCGAACTTGCAACCTGCGGATTCCCATTCGAAGACGCTAACCACTGCGCCGCACCAACATGACGTTGATTGCGTGTTAAAGACTTAGTTGCCATACAAACTTAAGGTTCAACTTAGTTATGTTTGTCGTGTACACAACATAGACAAGATATACACCTGCTACTAAATATTGCACATTTATTAAACACAAGCAACTGCGGTCTGTAACGATCGCCACTATGTTAATGGCACTAGTGCTATTTTTTCTTTTACAATTCACAACTTCAAGAAAAAAAAACCAAGTGGACTGGGGAGCAGCAACAGTTTACCGGCGGGGTCTGCCAAGTTTAATATCCGTTTCGCGCTCGTTCTAAAGGGCGACATCTGCTCACGCTTTATGACGCTTCTAGGCTCATTCCATAGATACGCCCGCCTAATTTATTTGATTGAGTATTTGGA